ATGATGCATGGCCGACAATAGTCCCTGAATAAAAGGCTTTGAGGTTAAGATTTCTGTAAAATGAATATTTTTTCAAACTTGCCAGGCTACCTTGCAATTATTGAAATGAACTGAAAAACTGGCACACTAAGACAGGTTTGTGAGTTAATTTTATTTAATTTTGAACCCTAGGGGACCCTGAGAGGGACTCTGAGAACACACCAGAAGAAACATTCTACATTTTTATCCACAAAATGAGCTTATTTCAAATTTTCTGGCTGTAACAGGTCTCAAAAAAGTTGGGACACAGGCAGAAAAGGGCTGATAAAGCAATTAATATATGAAAGAATCAGCTGAAAGAACATTTAGCAAGTAATTAAGTTAACTGGCATCAGGTGTGTAACATGATTGGCTATAAAAGGGATGTCTTAGAGAGGCTGAGTCTCTGAGAAGTAAAGATGGCCAGAGGCTCTCCAACCTGTGAAGGCTTGCGTAAAAAAAATTGTGGAATACTTTATAAACAATGTTCCTCAATGTCAAATTGCAAAGGCTTTGAAGGTCGCATCATCGACAGTGCATAACATCATCAAAAGATTCAGAGAAACTGGAAACATCTCTGTGCGTAAGGGACAAGGCCTAAGACCTTTACTGGATGCCCGTGATCTTCGGGCCCTCAGACGCCACTGCATCACTCACCGGCATGATTCTGTCATTGACTTTACTAAATGGGCTCAGGAATACTTCAAGAAACCACTGTCTGTAAACACAGTCCGCCGTGCCACCCACAGATGCCACCTAAAACTCCATCATGCAAAAAAGAAGCCATTGTTGAGCATGATCCAGAAGCGCTGCCATGTTCTGTGGGCCAAGGCTCATTTAAAATGGACAGTAGCAAAGTGGCAAAGTGTCCTGTGGTCAGACGAGTCCAAATTTGACACTCTTGTGGGAAATCATGGGTGTTGTGTCCTCTGGGCTAAAGAGGAGAAAAACCACCCCTCCTGTTATCAGCGTTTAGTTCAAAAATCCAGCATCTCTGATGGTATGGGGATGCATTAGTGCATATGGTGTGGGACACTTGCATGTTTTAAAAAGCACCATGAATGCTGAAAGGTATTTAAAGGTTTTAGAGCAACATATGCTCCCGTCCAGACGACATCTATTCCAGGGAAGGCCTTGTGTATTTCAGCAGGACAATGCAAAACCACATACTGCAGCTATTACAACAGCATGACTTGGTAGCAGAGGAATCTGTGTGCTGAACTGGCCTGCCTGCAGTCCTGATCTTTCACCGATTGAGAACATTTGGCTCATAATTAAACGAAAAGTCCATCAAAAGGAGACCCAAAACTCTCCAGCAGCTGGAAGCCTGTATTAAATAAGAGTGGGATCAAATTCCTGAACTAAACTTTAGAAACTTGTCTCCTCAATGCCCAGACGCCTCCACTCTGTGTTAAAAAGAAGAGGGGATGCTACACTATGGGTAAACAGGCCCCTATCCCAATTTTTTGAGACCTGTAGCAGCCATCAAATTTGAAATGAGCTCATTTTGTGGATAAAATTGTAAAATTTCTTAGTTTCAACATTTGCTATGTTATCTCTGCTCTATTCTGAATAAAATACCAGCTGGTGTGATTTGAAAGTCATTGCGTTTTGATTTTATTCACAATTTACACTTTGTCCCAACTATTTCGGAATTGGGGTTGTATATATATTATATGTGTGCGTGCGCGCGTGTGTGTGTGCTATATATGGGGGGGGGGCAAATCGATTTCCAGTTATAGGTCCCAAAATTGCCAGCGGCGCCTCTGACTGTACTCACTGAATGCAGCTGACAAGTACGCTACTGCCCCTCAACGGCAGCATCGGACTTTTTAGGGGCACTGTCACTGCCAAGGATGTGTAGTGGTTGAGTTACGAGAGATTTTAAAGCTGTGCATGACCTTGGTATTCGTAAGCAAGTTTGATCTCTTGCCAAATAAATGAGAATATAATTCCTTAGAATACCCGTGATTTTTTACATTCTGGCTCGAAGTACAGATTACATGGAGTTACATTATGTTTCTTTCCAGGATCAATAGCCAGACAGCTGCACACTAACAACGAAGTTCACAAAATGAATGTTCAAAAAATTTAAATGAAAAGTCCTGCCCTAAAGTGACAAATTAGTTTTTGGAGAGGACACCTCTGAGTAACCACAGTATGACATTAAACTGGCAATTCACACCAGAGACAAACTTTGAGATTTATTGGCAATTTACCCCCGAGACAAACTTGGATATAAACTGGCCAGTTTCAAGTTTACTATCCTAGCTCAGCTGTGAAAATGCCCCTTTAAGATGGATTTTGTGTCTCGGTGCTGTTGAAAAGCAATCACCAATCAATCAATCGGGATGACATTAATCAGTTATCAGCACTAATCAGTTAATACCTATTAGCAATTATTCAGTAATTGACAGTATTATTCATACTATTTACTGTTAATTATGTAGCATTTATACACTATGCAACTTATCTATATACTTATAATCATGTATGATGGTTTTATTATCAGTTTTTTTTATTGTAGTATCATTTCTATCTGTAGAACTAGAATTAGACTGTAAAATAAGCTTGATTTTTTTTCTCCTTCTCAAGCCAGTCAAATTAACCAAACAGTGCTGTGAGAAAGTATTTTTCCCTGTCCTTATTTGTTATTTTTGTGCATTTTTGTTACACTTAAATGTTTCAGATCATCAAACAAATTTTAATATTAGACATAGATAACCTGAGTTAATAAAAATATAGTTTTTAAATAATGATTTAATTTATCGAGGGAAAAAGCTATCCAAACCTACCTGGCCGAATGTGAAAAAGTAATAGCCCCCTAAACCTAATAACTGCTTGTGCCACCCCTGGAGACAACAACTGCAGTCAAGCTTTTGCGATAACTGGCAATGAGTCTTTCACATCGCTGTCGAGGAATTTTGGCCCACTCTTCTATGCAGAATTGTTTGAGTTCAGCCACATTGGAAGGTTTTCGAGCGTGAATGGCCTGTTTAACATCATGCCACAGCATCTCAATCGGATTTAAGTCCAGACTTTGATGAGGCCACTCCAAAACCTTCCTTTTGGTTTTTTCTAAGCCATGCCATTTTTGCCCAGTCTCTTTCTTATTGTTGAATCATGAACACTGACTTTAACTGAGGCAAGTGAGGCCTGCAGTTCTTTAGATGTTGTTCTGGGTTCTTTTGTGACCTCCTGGATGAGTCATCGATGTTCTCTTGGAGTAATTTTGGTAGGCCGGCCACTCCTGGGAAGGTTAACCACTGTTCCAAGTTTTCTCTATTTGTGGATAATGGCTCTCACTGTGGTTCACTGGAGTCCCAAAGCCTTATAAATAGTTTTGTAATCCTTTCCAGACTGATAGATGTCAATGACTTTGTTTCTCATCTGTTCTTGTATTTCTTTAGATCACAGCATGACGTGTTGCCTTTTGAGATCTTTTAGCCTACTTCACTTTGTCAGACAGGTTCTATTTAAGTGATTTCTTGATTCATCAGGTCTGGCAGTAATCAGGCCTGGGTGTGGATAGTGAAGTTGAAGTCAAAAAATGTGCTTAATCATAGTTAATTCATGATTGAACAAGGAGGGGGCAATTACTTTTCACATAGGGCAGGGGTGTCACACTGGTCCGTAAAAGGGCCGCAGGGCTGTAGGTTTTCAATCCAGCCAAGTAGAAGCACACCTTATACAACTAATTTAATCAACTGATCTCAGCCTGCACAGTTTATTAGTTGTATCAGGTGTGCTTCTGCTTGGTTGGAATGAAAACCTGCAGCCCCTCGTCCCTTTTACGGACCAGTTTGACACCGCTGACATACGGCCAGGTAGGTTATGATAGCTTCTTTCCCTTAATAAATGAAATCATCATTTAAAAACTGCATTTTGGTGCCCCGGTGGCTCATCGGTCTAAGCGCGCGCACCATAAAGGCTGTGTCCTTCCCGCAGCGATCTGGGTTCAATTCCGGCTCAGGTCATTTGCTGCATGTCTTCCCCCATTCTTCCTCCAACCTTCCTGTCTCTCTACACTGTATCACTGTCAAATAAAGGAAAAAATTCCCAAAAAATAATCTTTAAAAAAAAAAAAAAAAAAAAAAAAAAAAAAAAAACTGCATTTTGTATTTACTTGGGTCATCTTTGTCTAATACTAAAATTTGTTTGATGATCTGAAACATTTAAGTGTGACAAATATGCAAAAAAATAAGAAATCAGGAAGGGGACAAATACTTTTTCACAGCACTATAGGTGGAAAGATTTTCTGGCCTTGCTTCTCAGGGCATAGACTGTACTTGAGACCGGAGTCCAAAGTGTGTGTGTTATTCCAACATAAAGATCATTTGAGAGGAAACTGCACTATTTACCAGAACACACATTAGTTTACTTTATCTGCCTCTGGGAGCTGGCCCCAAGGACAGTGCAAGGTAGTGAACTCAATTGGTAGTGCTTATTTTTGCAGCACTAGTTGGGGAGTGTATTCAATCAAATGCTTTTTCTTGAGATACCGGTTTCAAAAGTGCATAATTTTACAATACTGATTGCCAATAGCCCTGATGGTGACACAATTATGGGATATTTTCTGATACACCAGCTGTTGCAGAGGTAGCCAGACTAATTAATCTGTCTGAACTTGAAGAGGAACCCAATTAGGGTCAACCGGACCCAAAGTAAAGATGCATCTGTGAGAACTGAGCTAACTTTGCATGACTGTCTGATTTCCTTTGTTCAACATGTTTGATTTCCATCACGTTCTTGGACAAGTGCCTTGTACTTTCCTATGACATAATTTTTGTTCCTACAAATTGGTTGGAGAGAAAGATGGTCAGCTTTGTTTTGCGCAAAGGAAAGCTTGGCTTTTTGAATAAAGTCCTTTATCCTGAAAGGTTCTGTCTCGCTCTAATCATTTTTGAGTCAATTTTTGGATTTTCCACAACATCTGCAATGGTTGGATGCTTTAATTGATGTTGTAAGTTAAATACACCCAGGGCGGCATGGCTCAGGAGGTAGAGCGGGTGGCCTAGGAATCCAACGGTTCTCGGTTCAATCCTCGGCTCCTCCAGAGAACGTGTCAAAGTTTCCTTGAGCAAGACACTGAACCCCACACTGCTCCTGATGTGCAGGCTGGCGCCTTGCATGGCAGTCTCCGGCATCACGGTGAATGTGAGGCATAGTTGTTAAGCGCCTAAGCTCACACTTTCACGTAATCAGCCGTTTCTTGGTATAAAATCGTTTCAGCTTTAGTTAAGAACAGTCTTTGCTGGTGCAGTTATTGTCTTTTATTACGGTGATGGAAAATGGAACCTTCATTTTTATTGTTATGCAGATTTATTTTTATTGTGTACCTTTTAAATTAAAATGGCTATAGTTTGGCATGAGTCAGAGGGATGACAAAGTTAAAGCAAGTGATGCCTGCTGCCTTCGTGATAGTATCATGGGACTAACAGATGAGGCAATGAAATTTTTGTTCAGATTCTGCTGAATTGTCAAGTTGTTTCTGACCAAAGTGGCCCATATATGCAGCTCAATGTGACCATATTAAACATGTTTCACTCCTAAGGCTAGCATATTGTGTGATACTGAATCAGCCACAGGGTAAAGCAGGGAGATATAACAAACCAAGGGACAAACTCTCGGAGTTCATTTATCGGAATTTGTGGACTTTCTACCATTGGCAACATGTCCTACTTTGTCCCACATAAACATACCATTTGTTCCACATCTGGTTTGTGAGTATCTGGTCACCCTAGGGGCACAAGATGCGCTATGGAGGGGTGAGGGGGGGGGGCATTGGGGTGCAACAGCAACAGGTCTGAAGCAAGCTGCAGCTTGCTACACCACAGACACGGCTGTGGTCAAATGAATACTGTGCACCAGTGACTGATAATAATTGGTGAAATTTATTTTGACATTATATAAACTCCAAAAACGCTCAACATTATCAGATTTGATGAGTTTTCTTCATAATTTAAGACAATTAACACAAACAAATCATGTCATTTTGACATGAAATTCCATTTCAATCAATTTTATTCATTTGCAAATTTTTCTTTGCTAATTTTCGCTTTCTTTGTTGTAATTAAACAATCATGAAGCAAAGATTTGATGAAGCAGGATGTGCTTAAAACAAACACAAAAGTTTATCTTTTTTGTCATTTGAATGAAGCATTTTCTTTCACTTTAATCATTGCAACATTGCATTAGGTAGGAAGCCGTGTTTAATTCATTTAATTGCGCATGGCTTATTCTTATAATTGGAAAAAGTGTTCATCAAGGAAAATTATTGAAAACATATTGAGGCTCATGAGTGCTCGTCTTAACTGAACAAGCAGACCTGGCTACACCTGATGGTCCCAACTGTTTTTCAAGTTCATGTGGTATGTGTCAAAGTAACTTCCACGTGAATGGCAGGATGCAAGGTTTCCCTGCGGAACATTGCTCAAAGCAGCTCACTGCCTCCACTGGCTTGCCATCTTCCCATAGTGCATGTTGGTGCCATGTTTTCCCCGGGTAAGCGACGCTCATGCACCTGGCCATCCACAATCCAAATAATGTTTTTTTAAAAAAGTGATTCATTACACCAGGCCATCTTCTTCCATTTCTCCGTGGTCCAGATCTGATGTTAACATGCCCATTGTAGGTGCTTTCGGCAGTAGGTAAGGGTCAGCATGGGCTCCCTGACCGGTCTACAGCTATGCAGCTCCATACGCAACAAACTGCGATGTTCTGACACATTTCTATCAGAACTAGCGTTAACTTCAGCAATTTGAGCTACAGCTCTTCTGTTGAATCGGAGCACATGGACCAGCCTTCGCTAGCCACGCATTTTGATGAGCCTTGGCTGCCCATGACCCTGGACCGCAGGTTCCCTGGTTTTCCGTCTTTGTACAACTTTTGGTAGGTTCTGACCACTGCAGACTGGAAATACTCCACAAGAGCTGCAGGTTTGGAGATGCTCTGACCCAGTTGACTAGCCATCACAATTTGTCCTTTGTCAAAGTTTCTCACACCTTTACATTTGCCTATTTTTTCTGCTGCCTAATATGTCCCACCCCCTGGCAGGTGCCATTGTAACGAGGTGATCAATATTATTAACTCCTCCTATCTGTAGTCATAATGTTATGGCTGATTGGTGTATACCCCCTTGTTTGCGGGTAGAAGAAACTCTTCATAAATAATTGTCATTTTTAAGTGATACGCTATTGTTTTCGCATTGAGAGCTACAATGGGCATAGATACATGTCTTTCGGTGCTACTTTAGTTTTGGACTGTTGGACTTGCAAGAGCAATCGCTGTCCCACATGTCGACTGCTTTGACCCATTTTCACCATTAACGTAAGCCGGAAAGTAACAGAAATTGCAGTTTGAATTCGGTGTGTCTGTACTTATTTTAATAGCTGATGGCACTTGCATAACTTAATTGGCTTATGTACTATAAGTTTTGATGTTTTTCCATTGTTTCACTTTTGCCGTTTTCGAAAATCCATAAGGCTAGCTGCTTTATACCATCAATTCTTTGCCTACGTTTCTTTTGTCCGACCCTATTTCTGTACAGCCAACAGCACACCTATCTAAATGTAGCATACTGTCTTTCACAAAATTTGAAGCGCATATCCTGGACCAAATTAATCTTTTTTTTGTCTGAATGATTGTGCCTTTATACACCAAATCCTAAGGGTTATTTTGCCAAGGGTGGTCCGTGTATAAAAAATTTTTGAAAATTACCAGAAGCGTCTGGAAAAATCCCCAGGGAGTCCTTAGCCAAATTGATTTGTGACTTCACCTGTGGTTCCCCCATATCCAAGGCGCTGAGAGACCCAGTGCCTGCATGGATCAGTGCGCGGTCACCGACATTTACCGATTGCAGCTAAACAACAGTGAATCTGATATGGAATCGCTGTCTGTCCATGATATTGTCTCGGAATACTTCAAATACTTCAAATAATGCCCAAAATCGCAAAAATAAACACCATAAACAATAACGCAACCTCTGAGTATATCCACTATGAACAGAATGACCAGCGCCGCCTGTGGGCTGCAGGAACCGCATGTGACGTCAGAGAAAGTCATTTTCCCCGGGAGATTCAAATCGCAAGCTTTTTTCGCGCCAGACGAATTCTGCCTAAAATACTGATATTAAACCAGGTATATCTGACACTGACCGATGTGTTATATTGGTTAAAATGCGTAAAGTGACTAAAAGTCCTAAATGTCATCTTAAAATTGGGTGCATTTTACATTTTAAATCAGCCATGATATGACCTTTAAATAAGTAGCCAGTAAATAGGATTCATTATCGAGGCAGTCAACATTAACACCAGCCAAAGCAAGTTTTCCGATGTGATGTCTGAATGAAAAAATTGAAGGAACCTTACTAGGGTGGGATGAAAATGAAAACAATCAAAGAACTATTTAAGTGTAAAATAATTATAAAGACTTAAGTTTGCTAAAGTAAATTTTATAATTTACCGTAACCGTCCATATCTGCACTTGATATTGCTGGAGCTGGTGATAGCAATAGGCCTACAGCAACTTTTATCTCCCATTATTTTATTTCAGTGACGTACGCACCATGATTTGATTGATTTAAGGCTGAAGTCATTTATTTATTTATTTATTCATCGACTTATTTATTTACTTGGATATTTTTTTACAGTTGGTCCACCTTCATTAACAATAGGCGACAACCACAATTAATCGCTTGAAAAAAACTGTTTTGTGATCTAAAACGTAAGAGAGCAGTGGGCCACAATGCCTTGCACTGAGAAATCTAGAACCAAACTTCGCGGTATTTTGTTTATTTGCTTGTTTTCTCATTGAAGACAAGAACAATGGGGAGACAGTTACTGAAAAACCTAAAAGTAGATTGCGAGTAGATGTGTTTTGACAGGCGAGGATTCTGCCAACCCTTACTACCGACGGCACTTCACTGCCTTAAACTCCATTCATTTTATTTGGTTCTTGATTATCTTTCAACGATCATTGCTCCTTCATACTGTCAGTATGGAACCCCTTTCTACTGTTGAACAAGGTTCATAATTTTTAAATCTTTTTATATTTGAACTTCTTATGACACGGCTAAGTAAAACTGCCGAGCTCTGATTAAACCATGTGGTTTAAAAGGCATCCCAGCAAGCACAAAACGTTCAACTAACGTTAGTGTAAGGTGCTCCTAAGGTTAGAATGACAAGAACCAAAAACTAACGTTTATAGAACGTTCATGGTTTTGTTCAGACAGAATGTTCCCCGAACGTTTGGGGAACTAAAAATTGCAATGTTCTCTCAGAGTGTCTTTGTGCTCTTCAAGCAACATTCCCAATTGTTTGTGTTTTGGTAATTCTGAACGCAACAAAAAGAGAACGTTCCAAGAAGTGTAATTGGTAATAGTGTAGCCGGGGGCAACGCCCCCATCTTGATTATGTAGGGCTGGCACGTAATCGCCGCCGCGTAGTTAAATCATTTCCTTGTGTTTGCCTGGGTTTTTCTTAGACTGGCGTCTATAGTTGCACGTTCTCTGGCTCCTGGTAACCTGCTCTGTGGAATTAAGCCCCTCTTGATTGCTGGGAGGTAGGCTTTCGTCGTCGAGCAGTGAAGTCTAGCCAATGTTCTGCAGTTCTCTACCCGCATTAAGCCCTGTGACTGTCTGAGCTGGTGGGATTGGTGCGACGGGGATTGGTCAAGTAGACAAGCGCCATTGTTATTGGAGCCAGGAGGAGCAACGGAATGCCATTGCTGTTTTGCCGTAGCTTGCCTTATTGTTTTCGTGGTTTTAATTGTTTTTTTTTTTTTGTGTTTGTTTTTCTTACGAGAGCGTGTACTGTTGCGACACGTGCAATCAGTGTTTCCTCCTAAACCGTGCGGAGCTGTTCCGTGAGTGACTGGTTTTGAAGCAAAGTTCGTGAGCGCATAAATTTGCTTTGGTTTTAATTTGACCAACTGTGGCTGTTTATTTTGTGGATACTTTAGGTAAATTGTTAACCCTGTTTCTCACCAGGGCGACGGCTGGAGAGTCGTCAGGCCCACTGACGGTGCTGGGTCTTCTATTTTTCCCCTGCTTCCTTA